AAAAAAAAAAAAACACTTATTAATGTAATCCGACATTGCAGAGTGTCAAGTTAAGGACACGTTAACTATAGTTTATAATATGTGAATAATAGGATACCAGCTATTACCATCTATACTAGCGGGAAAAAGAAACTTTGCATGCGGAGAATTGTTATACATGAAAATTCACACACATGACCGAGTATGACACATACACACTATCCGTGTCATTGACAGTTTTTCCCGTGCAGCCATCCAATTCGACAATGAAAGTTTATTTTTCAACTGTTGGGTCACTCTGTTGAGACCAGTGAACAGCATTATAACGTTTTAATTTGTGATTAATGCTATGCCGAGGCTCAATGAAAATGACCGCCTACGGATTATTGGTATGCGTCAAGCTTGACTGCACGGACAATCCCTGGGTTGCTACCAATAAGCCCGAGAACTGTACGGAACCGATTGCGGGAACGAGCTATCCGTCCGCGACGTCCTGCAATCCGCCCAGTTCTTCTGCCACGTCATCGTGTAGCATGTCTGGACTGGTGCAGAAGGCATCTGTGATTTACTCGACGGGATTGGGCGGGCATTTTGTTTACGGACGAGCCGCGAGCCCACCTGGATAGTAGTTACGGCCGTTCCAGAGTGTATCGTCGCGTTGGATAACGTTTCCGTGACGCGTGTGTGTTACAACGACGTTTTTTTCGGCGGAGGCAGCGTTATGAATAGGGGCGGCATCACAGTCAACCGGATAACGCCTCTGGTGGTTGTTAACGGGAATTTGAACGCGCTACGTTACCGTGACGAAATCCTCCGGACCCACGTCGTCCCATTCGTGCAAGGGCAGCAACGTCACATTACGCTACTGCAGGACAACGACAGGCCACACACAGCTCGTGTCGCTATGGACTTTCTGGCCCAACAGAACGTTGACGTGTTGCCCTGGCCTGCTGTATCCCCCGATCTGTCACCCATTGAACACGTCTGGGATGAAATGAAGCACAGATTACGGGCATAACCTAATCAACCGGTGCCGTTGGCTGATTTGGATGCAGCGTTGGTACAGATCTGGAATGCCATCCCACAAGCATTCTTGAACCGTCTGATAGGCTCCATTCGTCGACGTTGCCAGGCTTGCATTCAGGCAAACGGTGGACATACACATTTAGTTTTATAACACATTTTAGGCATGCACAGTTTCTTTTTTCCGCTAATATATATGCAGTACTACTTTATACCATCTACCGGTAGCATGATCAAGTAATTATCATTAATTGTCAGTTTGAGAAGAAAATGAGACCGACTTGATAACAACTTGCGAAGAACTTGAAAAGAAGTTTTCCCATTTCCCAGCACTTGGAACGTATTTTCTCAAAAAAGAACGTCTGCTCTCGCAAGGTGATGTCTGAAACCGGAAATAGTGTCCATACAAAAGAGATACGCAAAATCTGTCATTAACATATCAACACAAAGTAACGAAAAAGTATTGTGAGAATGACAACACCATTTTAAGCGTAAATGTGCATTTGAAGAGGCCAATGACCATAAGATTGTTTTAAAAACAAATTCTACATAGTTTTAAGGTTCATGGTATTCCTCCGCTTAAATCTTATGTTTGTTTACGTTTGTCACAGGCCGAGGATTTGTTATCGATGACCATTGAGCCTAAAAGTCATTTGGGAAATATGGAGTTCAGTTGACTATTTTAAATGAAGAAATATATAAGGAAGTACAAATGTAGTAATGATGATAAACAGTTTATCACCCAGTATTCTCAGGGTTTGTCATTCGAACAATTTATTTTCTCATCGCTTGCATGTTGATAAAATCTGTAGACCACCTATGATGGCCTCTCGATTTTATCCACGTGCTCGCAATGAGAAAATTGTTCTGACGACAAACCCTGAAAACAAAGTGGAATAATCTATAATTATTTCATATATCGTTCGAACATATGAGTATTTAATTAGAAGTCTTAGAGAAAAGTGCATTGTAACATGTCGTAGCCAGGATTTTGATAGTTTTAGCATGAACGGTTAAAGAAACAATGCGATGAGAGATCAAATAAATACAATCTTTACCCTTTGTATTATGTAACAATACACGGATTTTGCAGTTTCTTTACCAAGCGACAATAAAGGTGATAGAGACTTCCATTCATGACAGCATAAGGTCTTGAAACATATTAATTAAAAAACAACTTATTATCTTATATAGACTGTGTCCTCGGCAAGCACGGAAACATGTGTGAAATAGATTGCCCTAACAACTGTAAAGACAAAACATGTCTAAAGGACAATGGACACTGCATAGGTAAGTAGTGTGCTCTGGCGTTACCAAACTCGCTGTCCTGAATAACTAGTGAATACAGTTTTTACTTTGGGTTTAGGGGGTTTAGGTTTGTCTTCCTCCCGTCCGCCATCTGTTACGTTATAACATCATAACACAAGGGGTTTATACAATACTACGGGGCGTTTCGCACTTTTTATAAGCACGGTCCTTAAATGGTCTAAATTCTTATATTATAATATAATGTAACTATACTCGACGCAGGCATGTTTGCCGAAATATCATTAATCCCGAATATGAATATGTGTATTGCCTATCGAAAATGTATCAAAACATTCAGGTTGCCCAGTGTTTATCCAATAGGGATTCAAATGGTTTGATTGTTGGTGACGTAACGACAGCATATGTAAGAAAGTTCCAATGGTTTATAATCCGCTCAATTAAAGAATATTTTCTTAGGTTATGTATACTCCTTCTATTCATCAGTGTTATACTGTGTCCCCTTGTTCTTTGGGGTTTTTATTAGTTGACAATCCCTGTGTGACAGCTCTATCACATCCTTCATATGTTAGTTTATATACTTAGACCATATCCCCTCTTAGTCTCCTATGTTTCAGTGTGGTTAATTTCAGAATTCTCAGTCTGTTTTCATAGCTAAGATCTATCATTCCCGGTATTTGTTTTGTTGCTCATATTTGTAAATGTTCTAACTAATTTATATAGTTTTGTAAATATATGTTCCATACGCTGGCCCCATATTCAATATGTAGACTTACAAGTGCCTTGTATAAAAGACAGAATGTTGTATTATCTAAAAATGTGCAAGTTCTTCGGATGATTTCTATTAGTCTGTTGGCTTTGTTGACCGCATCGTCGGATTGTTCCGTTGTAATTCTAAGATCGCCACGTTCTCCAATGTGATCTCGACTCTGTTTCAGTGTCATTGTTAAATGTGGTGCCGCATTATTAGTTTTCTAATTGAATACTTTGCATTCATCCAAATAGAATTTGAAAAACCATGTATCTAGTAATTTTTGAAGTTGATCTAGATCACCTTGTACATTAATGTTATTGTGACAATTTCAAATAAATAGTATATGTTGTTTGCGTTAATAGTTTCCAGAAGATCGCAGATATAAAGTACAAAAACGACGGCCCTTAGACGCTTCCCTGGGGATACCATTTGTAACCTCCATCCATTTTGACATTCCCCTGTTTACTACTACACGTTCTATCCGCTAAGTAAAGAAACTTCCAACCTATTTTATTATTTCTGATGATAACTTTAATTTATTTAGAAGCCGTAGATGTGGGGCAGTGTCATGAAGTCTAAGTAATCCTCCCTGATCGATAGCCTCTGTCCAATCATCAATGACTTTTAGCAAATATAAAACAGTTGATCTTCTTTGACAAATCCATATTGAAATATATTTTTTTCAAAATGAACTATTATCCTTGTTCTTACAATATTCTCCATAGTTTTACATAGTACGATTGTCAAAATTACTGGCTTTACTCCCTGAAGTTTTTTTGTCTCCTTTATGTATTGCAGTTTCCTGAGCCTCTTCTGCTATCAGGGATTTCTCCAGTTAAAGATTTCACATAAAAGCGTTTTAATATGTCAGCAGTTTTCATCAGTACTTTCTTAGGAATTTTATCTGGTCCTGGTGATTTTGTGGGACTCAATGTTTTAAGGTGTTTAGTACTTCTACCTCCGAAATTAAGTAGTTTATGGTAGGAATGTTTAGACCTATGATACAGCTAAGTGTTTCGACTGTGAATACACCTGAGAAAAAGTCTGCTAATACGTTTGCTTTATCTTGATCGTTGAAAACGATTATCGTTTCGTTTCTACACTTATATACAAATCCGAGATTTCATATTCGTAATTTCTTTTGCATTCTCTTATTACAGTTTTTCTTTGTTTCTAGCTTTTACATAGTCGTTGTATTTCTCTCTTTCTTTCTTTTAAGATATCTCTGCCAGCTCCTGTGTTTCAGTTTCATTGCCTATATCGATGGGTTATCTAGAATGTATTGTAATTTTTATGTTTCTCGGGTCCTTTGTGGTATCAATGCTGGATTAACTTAACTGATGAAATATTTCGTATTGTGATTTTGTGTCCAATGCACGGGTTAGCGTTTCCGGTCAGTCTATTTATAGCTCTCTTATCATTTATTCGTAAGCTCCTTTGCTGTAATTATACTTAATTGTTTTGCTGAATCGATGTGTTTTTGTACATTTAAATTCGAACAATATAGTACCGTGATCACTCTTTTCAAGCCCGCTACGTGTTTTAAGTTTACTTATCTTGTCCTGTTCGTTTGTAAAAAGTAATTCTAAAATGCTAGGTTCGTTGTTAGCTCTTATTCCTGTTAGATTCTTCATGTGTTGAAACAAAAATGCATCTTAGATTGTCTCTTGAAATTTATATTCCATAAGATTTCTCACCCTAGACGGAATGCTTTGAATCCAATTGATATGTTTAAGTTCAAGCCCCTATTGTCAAAAAGTGAGATGTTTTTTATATCTCCAATGTTAGCACGAATATATCCATATTTGTTCGTCTACGCTGTTAGGACTCATATAAAGGCACCGATTGTTAAGATGATTCCGTTATACAGATTAATTTGTATCCATGGCTGCTCGTCAACATTTTCTTAATTGATGTTTCCGTGACTCCTAGATTATGAAACCTGTATTTAACAATTCCTTTCGATCAATTTTCCGCAGAAAAACCTGAAAAACATATATGTTCTACTTATAATTGTTTATACGGTACCTTGAAACGATATCCAACTTCTCTGGATATAGAGTATGTATGTCTGTAATTGTAAACATAAACCGTCGTTATGTATCATAAAACAAACCTCCGAAAATATAAGTATTATCATCGTGTATTGCATTATGTAGCCCTTGGTAAACACACAGTAGATAGCATAAGTAACGCTAAATAACACGTCGAGCATTGATATTAAACGGTGGCATAATTGCCATCAGTTAAAAATGGCGCCATGTTGTCTGTTTATGACGTCAGCAACAAACCGATATTAACATATAACAGAGTATATACGGTTTTGTATACATTTCTTGGAGTAAAAGTGTTTGAAACCACTTTATTGCAAAATATTGCTTTTTTTGATAATATGTATAATGGTTGTGATGTGCAACTGTCTCTGTTTTAGGATGTGTTCGGGGAAAACAAGGTTTGCAGTGTGCTGAAGATTGTCCAAGCAACTGCGTGACATGCATGCAAGTAGATGGACAATGTACAGGTATAATACACGTCGAAACATGTGTAGCACTGTTCACATTTGCCTGTCCAAGTTTTATATGCCATTTTAAAACAGGCAACAAATGGTTGGATCTTTTCAGAATATGCTTTAAATCTTGTGTAAGTTAAATTTCTGTGTGTTTATCAAAATTGACATATGTTGTATAAAACTAGTAAAATATCATCTTGTCGACAAAATAGTGCAAGAGCATATTTCCTTCCTCTTTCCGATGTCGTCTCCTTATACACAGGTTGTACCTGTAGTCAGAGTATTGATACCGGTTGTTATATCTTACTTTCCTATCCTGTTATGATATTTCGGTGCGATTGCAATTTAAAACGCCCCCATCATCATGGATCGATCCAAGGAAAATATAAGCTCTCTTGTCTTTCTTGTCTGTTTTAAAAAGTTTTCTAACTGCTGTAGGATATCATTAGAGGAGGGGGAGGGAGGGGGATCGTTTTACTGATTCCAAACGTTGTGCGTCAGCCATTGGTGGTTGTTATTTCAGAATGTGTTCAGGGTAAATATGGTACGGATTGTGAACAGAATTGCCATGACAACTGCAAAGATAGCCTTTGCACAAAGGATGATGGCACTTGTCCTGGTAAGTAATATGGATGAATACTTTGTAAAACAATAAGTACTCTGATGTGATTATCGATGTGAGATCGATAAAACCACTATTGTAATAGGTACCACATGACAATTTAATAGCAGTACTCATCTAATTCAAACTATGAACAAAACAAAATATCATTGATACAGTTTTTATCACGACATTCACAAATCATTTATTACATTGTATTGTGAAAACACGGAAAACTCAAATTATAACTCCAAATTAGTAGATATACAGATGTATATAATGAGTGGTAAACGTATTATTGTGCTGTAAGCGTCGATTCTGAAGTACAAATCTAACATTCTAGTAATTTTCTCCATGCTTGAAATTTGAAGACCTTTATTACAGTTGACAATTACATTGATTGTTCCGTCATTAGTTTGTGTGAGAAAATTACGTCGTTTTCTCAAAAATTTGTGACGTTACTCTCACAAAAAAATGACGTAACAATCAATACCTGCTCACAAGAGCAGATAATTCTGCAATACGAAATAGCCAACGTTGCACAACGGTTCTATTATCAAACCTCATTTTTAGACAAAAACAACACGTCTTTACAGTTACATATATTGTTAAAGTTAACATCGTTCTTGATAAACGATGAACAAACTGCCTCCATTCTTCTTTATTTAAAAAGAATTGATTCAACTTTTTTTAGTGGCAAGTGCAATACAATACTAAAAAAATATTATACAAATATGTACATGAAGCTTGATCAGTGATACCAATATTTACTAAATAAGAAGTAGCAATGTATGAACTTAATTAGCTGTTCATTGTTTTGAGAATACCGTTTTTAATTGAAACTTAATTTAGTTATATTTTCATGAAACACGTACGAGAAAAAAATACCCTTTTGATTTCGAAGAATGTCAGAATGGATACCATGGTATGGACTGCACACTAGAATGCGAATCCAATTGTAAATTTTGCCAACAGGTAGACGGTGATTGTACAGGTAATTAAGTAAAATTCACACATATTTTTCATTCAAACAGCATCATCAAATCATCAATATTTATAAAAAGATTATATTATAGATCTAAAGGAGAAATGCCCAATATAATTATTGTATTTGTTCAAAAAATAAATCATACTATAGTTCCCTGTCTTTAAAGTCTCATTTCAGTTTCTGTTTGTTGTCTAAATACACCGACTTTGTATATTGACGATGTATATAGCTTTGATTCCAAAATATAAGGTCAACTGCTGCATAAATATATTAGCAAAACTCAAGCTGACATATCCTCCCAAATGTTGCCAATTGTTTTCAGCAAATTTAACAACAAATAATTAACAATATACATGTTATAACAACAGAATGCTTGGATGGTTTATATGGTGGAAACTGCAGTTTGTCTTGTGTCAATTGTGAGCGGTGTTCGAGGGAAACTGGAAAGTGCCTAACTTTCTGCATACCTGGATACGAAGGAGAATTTTGTCAAATGAGTAAGATGCTATTTCGTAGGTGACACTTGAATGTGCTAGCACGTAAGCTATAAAACAAATTAATGGTAATCTTAGCACCATGTATAATACAAATCAAGGCAAAAATATTCAGAGCAGGATAAACTTAATTGGAAATTTCGAAAATGCAATTTCGAGCAATGTCTGAAAATTTAAAACTACCTTACTTGTTTTTTTCTTCTGATGATATATTTTGAATCCATTTACTTGTAATTTCAGTTTGAATTTAAATATTTTTCTAAATAAAACAAATAAAGTTTCGTGTTAAATTTGTATCTTTACTTGACTAGCTTGAACAATAGGACCGTTTTGCCGTGATAAATAACAGGAAAAAATTAGAATGAGATACTAACATAATAACAATATATATCTTGCTAATTTAACTATTTAATAAAAGGGGAACATACCGATATGATCACGCTTATACAATTCTACGAACATAATATTCTGATATGCAGAAGGGTACTGCATTATTACTGTGTTGAACTTCCGAAGCTTATACAACACCGTGTTTTGCTTTGAAGGCATAAACTCGCCCCCACAGGATGATTTTACTGGGACGACAGTTGGCATTGTTGTTGGATTGCTTCTCTTGGTATCTAGTATAACCATTGGCGTTGTGTTCATAATCAGGAGGTATGTATGGTTATTAATCCTTGAAAGAGGGAAGGACGTCACTCAATTAACTTAATGTGTATCGTGAATATTTTCATAACTACTTAAACTACATTATGTACATTCATCACCAGTTTTAACTTACATTTACACTGTAAACCGACATTAACACTGCAAACCTTCATTTTGAAAACTTTAACTAACACTGTGTTTCTATATTACTCTTATGAACTACATTATCACTATAACTTACCTCTAAACTGAAAGCCTACATGTTAACTGTGAACATCTGTTAACAATATTAACCTCCGCTACATTCTCAGCCTACATTTAAAAAAAACTTTTTTACAATACATGCCTTGCACTACTTACCTACAGTAACACTGTAAACATTTATTTATAACGATAAACAAATATTAACACTAAAATTTTACATTACAATATCAACCAGAGTTTTCTAAATCTAAATGTATATGGTAGATTACATTTACACTGTAAACCTACATTAATACTGTTGGTTTTCATTTACAATATAAATGTACATTACACTGTAAACCTGCATTAGTTTGAATTACGACAAAGCCATGCTGTCTGGTAACAAAAGAAGCTGGATTGAACGGTTTTTATTGTATTTACTAGTTTGTGAACAAATGTGTCCGGTTATGAATTCTAGACGGAGACAGAACCCTTTGAAGAAAGAAGGTTCATTTGGTGACCTCGGCAGGCGGGAGGTGTCTCGATCATCAAAGCTCAACAATGGCTATGGTAATATCAGACGAGCTATTCTTTCAAATGCATGCTTAAGCTTGATCCTTTTTTCTGGTGGAAAAAACGTTATTTTTTTATTTGGTCATTACAATTTGTTATTTATTTTAGAGTCAGATGAACGCACATCAGAACAATTAGCGAACCTCGATAACGTTTACGTCAATTCTGGGAATGTAAACAAAACGACAGACCCATACGAAGAGGTGTACTGTAATTCTGGTTCTGAGGGTATCGCTATTAGCGACCTGACATCGTTGGTGAAAACAAAGATGTTAAACAAAGCAAAAGTGTTTGAAGATGAATACAAGGTATATATTGTGTACCAAATTCTTTGTTAAATTGATTTAAACATATAACCACACACGATTTCTAATTAAAATTAGTAAATAATAAAATAAATATGCAAATATAGTAAGACAATGATAAGCCTTGTTCTGGATTAGTTAGTTTTCATTTTATAAAGGTTGAGTATATCGATATAATGTTGAAGAATATCACACGCGTCGTTATGATATCCTCGAAATTCCAGAGATTACGCTCCATGAAGTTCTCTGCACCAATGGATTATTCCATGACAAAATTGAAGGTGCGTGATTAGCGATATCATAGTTTCATGTAGATACCTGTCCTTTGAAGATTACAGAGGAGCAACACCCGACTTCAAAGACACTCAATCGTACCGTTATGTTGCCATGCGATTCCTTAGATGCGCGCTAAAATCTCGAACAATTCAACTTGTATCATCCTCGAAGAAGCGCGTACAGAGCCTTCATTTTTGCTATGACATATTTTAGGGTGAAGAACATATATGTGTAAATGTATCTGGAATTAAAGGTGGTCCTTATCTGATGTCGTAGTTATCTCGATATGTTTAGTATAGCATGACTATAATTAAAGTATGTATGTGTATTACCTCTAAGTATGCGTCTTAGTCACTTCGTAGGTCATATGTTGTCTTGCATTTGGATATGTATTTAACACCAACAGTTTATAAAATATAACATTTTGTATTCAGTTAACAGTAATATATTTTCATTTGCATGCTTTGTACAGTCGCTACCATTAGGGGACTTGTATGAACATAAAGTTGGGATGATGACCGAAAACAAACCAAAAAACAGATTTAAGTCCACGTTTCCATGTAAGTAACACTCCAGACACACAACATTTCATACAAGTTCCTAACAACATTTCATACAAGTTCCTATACTATCGTACTTCAGCTGTTTAACAGCCCGATTCGACTGAGTTGATATAATGACGGGGTTATTTATCGTCGTGTTTTCTCTCGTTCTCGAGTTTACCGGTCATGATTCCCTCATTTGAGTCCAATAGTAAGAGGTATCGTCTCTTATTTTAAGTTTAGGATGTAGAGGACAACAATGGCACGTAGACCGGATGATATTGGCTGTCATGCTATAATATGTTTTTGTTGTAATATAATATTTAGTATCTTTATCGTAGGTGTTAAATATGTCACATGATTCATTTTGTTATATTTTACAGATGACCATTCACGAGTAGTCCTTGACAAACAGGACAAAGATCCACACTCGGACTACATTAATGCAAGCTATATCGATGTTTGTGATTTTTTTTCTATTATACTTCTTTATTAATTAATTTATATATTTATTTAATGAACTCTCTATTTTCATTAACACAAACCTTAGTTCGTTGCTCGGAATGTCCATAATTGTGTCACCAGAAATATTATAAATTGCAAAGTATTTAATTTTGAATGTTCTTAGCATTTTTAGATATCCTACTTGACTTTGTATTATTCTGTCTTCTTTTTTATATATATCAGATAGGGTCTTTGATTTCGGAAATCGTGTACCTCATGATGTAATATTTTTAAATCTATACTCCCTGTGTCGACATGTCATTTACAGTTGATTTATAGCAATGCCAATATAAAATAAGTTAGCATGGTAAAAAATACAGATACCATCAGTGTAAGGCTGCAGATGTTTAATCATGTAACTGTTCAAATGAAGAATCCAAAATGTGGGCTACGAAATGACATCATAAGGTGATAGTTCGTACACATACAGTTCATTTACTTTTCAGAGTGTCACGCTACCTGCTGAGTATATAGCAACACAAGGTAAACTGAATTATGATTCCACAAAATAATAATTGAAGAATTATTTTCAAAGCTCAGCAGTGTTCCATTGCCAAAAATGCATCGTCTTAATACAACAAAAGTGTTTCATTACAAATAATAAATTGTTTAAATACAAAAAAAATAATGTATTTTAACATTATCTCACAGGACCAACAAACAAAACCGTAGATGATCTGTGGCGTATGATCTGGCAACTGAAATCTGGCAAAATCATAATGCTTACTAATCTGTCTGAGGGACCAAAGGTAAAAAGCATGGCGATGAACTTTCAAAATTTGTTCTGAATCTTGTAAATAGTCAACAATCAAAACCTTCCACACGGTAATAACCAAACTACTTTTAAACAACGATTAATATCGCATTAATATCAAAGCAATACGATAAGCTTCAAAAGTATACTGGACATTCTTAGTAATTAGTTGCATGTGATTTTACATATCCATTGTTATCACGCTACAGTCGTGCTTAAAAAATCTATTTCAATGTCAGAAAAAGTGTGTGAAATACTGGCCTGACGAAGGACAACCGATGTCTACAAAACATTTCGAGATCGTCCTAGACAGAGAAAGGGTCTACGCCTTCTATGTCATCCGGGATATCATTCTCACAGAAAAGAAGGTAATTTTAGTACGAGGTTTTCTTCCCAAGACCTATCAGAACACGATTAGAACATTCACTCATTCAATCATATTACTTTGTGTAATTCCAGTTTATCATTTTTGTTTATTAGATGAGCATTTGGTGTATGACCCCAACATTTAACGTTTTCCTATTATGAATAACAAAAAAAGACCCATGATTATAGCCTATCATGTAAAACAAAGCAAAAGAAATTTAATTTAGAACAATTAATACAGGAAGAAGTAATATTTATATCTGCCTTTCTAAAAGTCCTTCGTTTCAATCATCCTAGTATAAAGGAGCTAATGAATTAACGTCACATGTTCAAATTTCATTATATAAAAATAACGATATTTTCAGACCAAATCAGTGCGACAAGTACACCAGTTTCACTACACCACGTGGCCAGACCACGGAACCCCAAACCCCAACGAACTTGTCGTGTTCCATCGCCGAGTGAAGCTTTACAAGAATTCCTTGCCAGGAAAGATGGTTGTCCATTGCAGGTGCATTTGTATATTTTGCTTTGGCCGTAGGGTTTTTCTTGAAAAAGGAATTCTAGTTTGTTTCACAGTAACTTGCAACAACTAATCATTTTTCCTATAACCATTTACAAAATATTTAAATCTGCACTTTCATCGATTTTTTTGTTAGCCGATAATCGTTCTTGAATTATCAATTATTCACATTGATTGGCACGGGTATCACTAAAAAATGATATACACTATAGCGTGTTTAGCAATATATAATCTTCTTATATAGTTCTAGTATCCTAACTGTGATTATTTGACTTACAGTGCCGGTATCGGGCGAACAGGAACGTTCATTGCGCTGGATGCTTTGTTGGATTACGGCAAAGAATCTGGCATGGTCGACATAATAGGTTACATTAGAACCATGAGGAAGGACAGGGTCAATATGGTTCAAACCATTGTAAGTCGTAAAAATTACAAAAACTGCCAATTCATTTTTGTGCACATTAATGATTGATATAAGGCATTGAATTATCATTTTTTCTAATATATACAGAAGCTTTTTCAAATTCAGAATCATGGGTGATCTCTTAATCTCGGATACAATCGAACCACAATTAATATGATCGTTTGATTATTTAAATTAACTAAACTAAGATTGAGAAGAAAATAAAATAACGAAAATGCAGATAATCCTTTTTTATAAGTGACGAATGGGTTGGAAGTTGTATTCAATACCATTGTTGCATTTAGGATCAGTATATTGCTCTGCACAACATCCTGATTGAGGCGTTTGACATGCCAGACACCCTTATACCCAAAGTGGAGTACCATGCAGCACTGAACAGACTGTCGGATGATGTCCCAGTTAACCAAACGAAATTATGGCAGGAATACCAGGTAACATTTTCATTTTAATCAAACATCTGAGTTGTAGATATCGGTCATTTTAAAGAAAAAGGGTCCAACAAGTTAAACTATATAATTACGATTCTTACTACTGTAAATATTTGCTTAAGTCCATTTCAAAAGGCATATTCCATATAAATCAAATGTTGCGATATATTTTACAGCATTTCAAATTTAAATGTTTTGAAATATTAATTTAGCAAACCACTTGGGGTCGAATTCGGAGTTAGAATACAGTGCTAAACCTACACTTTACCAATGTTGCCATACAGAAGCACATCATCATGACCGGGTTAGTACAGTAACTCTAAGCAAGAAAAGCACCCAAGTACTGCTTCATTTTCTATATAGAGGGGATGTTACTCAGAGTAAATAAAATCGGAATAAAACCCTCCCCAAAAATTATAAATAATGCAGTGGCACCCTTTCCTCTGATCATATAATAATATTTCAGAATGTTATATTTTAATGTTTATCTTTATGTCAATTCTAAATCCATTTGCTTAATTGTATACCAAAGACACCCTGTGTTATGCGCTGTGTGTTAAATTGCAAGCATTGTTCTGACTTATTAGCCCTTTTGCAATAAAATAGATTTATATTGTATATACATTTTCTGTTAAATGAACACCGCATGTAAAAGGCAGCTTCTCCACTACGCTACCGGTAAATATATTTTATATATAAATACGTTTGTGCAACAGGCCTGGGAGTATTTCTAAAACTTAGTCTAACTCCAAAACAGGCCCGCGATCTTCAATTGTTTTTGTATGAATACAGAGCAAAATATCAATTTTAGAGGAAGATAACTTTTCAATGCCCACATATATTAGACAAGTGTTAAAACTCTCTACTTTAAAAAGACTTTTTAATATTGAAAAGTTTATACTGATATGAACATATACCCTTTTTTCTCTTAACATCTTTTATTTATTAAATTGGAAAATGAACAACTGACACGTTTTTTTATGTTTAAATATACCAGCTATTTTGTAAGTGTTGCCCAAATTATGTCCCTACCCCTCCTTTGCCAAATGTGAAGTAAAACACACAAAATGCACCACAAAATCAACAAACAAAGACAAGATTAGAACTCAAAGTTGATCGGATAAAGGCAAGTTTGTCTCTCATGGTCTGGTGTATTACATGGTGAATAAGTACCCGCTAAATGATTACAATTCTGACAATGATAACAAAAATAAGATATAGTCAGCGTTAATAAAAGTATGTCCTGTCAAACAATGCTCTATCTAAGTGTAATGCTCCAAAAGCTGAATAGGCTTACATTGACGTCGACACTACATGAAAACAGTGTTGTGCAGGGAAACCACTTCATCAGTATATCTAATTGTATAATTAACGTGAAACAAATCTGACGTTTTTAGTTGTTGCAAACTATGAAGCCAACATATACCAAAGTCGACTATAAAGCAGCACTCCTTCCCGTCAACCGCAACAAGAACAAGGATCCAAATGTCTTAGCAGGTAAGCTGTTTATACAGTTGTATGCATATTCAATAAATGATTTACCTACGTCGCAGGTGACGTTTATAATATGAAAACATTTCTTTTTTTATTTATCTATGTATTTGATATTATTTTTTATCCTTTTTTTATTTATTTATTTTTCATTTTTTACTTATTTTCTATTTTATTATTTATTTAATCGACTTATTTATTGATTGATATTTATGTATATCATTTTGTTTACAGTTGACAAATTCAGAGCATACCTGACGTCATCATTATCCGACAGAACAGATTATATCAACGCTGTGGCTGTTCCTGTAAATATTTGTTATTCTTTCCTTTTCAAAACGCCAGTGTTTTTAACAATTAACGATGTGAACAACATTAATAAAACAACATGACTTTTTATACAAGACCACGTACCAATAAGGATAAGAGAAATTTTATCATGAATATGTTATTATGTGCATGACCCAAAGATTCGTCGTCTTATTTTAAAATATACCATGATAATCTGTTGCTGTTGAGAACTCAAATACTTACATATGTCTTTATCAGTCTTACACGTCTCGAACCGGTTACATCATTACCCAGAGTCCTTTAGATGACACCAACGTCGATATTTTGACAATGATAATGGACAACCAGTGTGACACCATTGTTATCATCGAAAAAGACTCCGTCGTAAGTTTACGTGCTTGAAATCTTATTGAAAGTATAACAAAATCATATCATTCCTTTCTATATATATTCCTGATATCGATATAAAAAAATAACAATTGCGTTACATTTTATAACAAAAGAAAAATGTTCTCTCAATATTACATTATGTAGTAGTATACATCGTTGAAAAAAATCGACATACACATTTTAATTATATTAAGTCATGTTAATAATTGAGATGTAATTTTGCAAATCAACTGATTATTTCATAGAAATGGTTGCCAGAGGAAGGAAAAGATATCTCAATTGGAAAATTCACACTGAAACATTTAGGAGGCTCTTCAAATCTGGTCCATATTGATTTGATAGAAATTGCGATCTCAAATCAGGTAGGACTTGAAAGCGAGCATTGTGGAGATTATTTGATAATTAAAATATAACTTTTTAAAGTGTTTATGAATATAGTCACGTCCATGTGAAATCACCCATATCAACTTTATCATGTTTGGTATTACCTCTCTGTTCGCGCTATTTGCTTCGTTAGTATTACATCAGTATTCTGAAAGCACATTTTTGTCGGAGTATAGGTGATAAAAAAAATGTGATTGAATATCGTTGTTACCGGAAACGCAGTCTGATAGTATCTGCACCCAAAAAAGGTGAAAATAGACATTTTTATATGTTATTTAATCAACTTAATAATGCCTAATCAGTGAGATACTGTTTAAATCCCTTCACTAAAAGTGCGTCTTTTGAATGAATGTTTTAATGACGCAACAATATGATTCCAGAGTCATAAATATGACACCAAAGTTCGGGTGTTTCGAATGACTGGTTGGGATAGAGACGTATCAGTTCCTCCAGATTCATCGGCAGTTCTTCAGCTTCTAGAACTTGTAGACAGCAGACGGAGGTCACATGACTCGAAAACGACTGTAGTCATGTGCCGGTATGTAGCGAAGGTCACACAAAATGTCCATTGTTTCAAATGACACAGTTGTTCTGACTCAAACAAGCATTGCTCTTTCCATTTTCGCCTCAACCTGTTTTGCTTCGTTAATATCCATTTCAACAATTTTACCTGTAAACATTCTTCTAAATTTACATCAGTGAATTTGAATTAAACAAATATAAATTAAGAAAAACTGTTGTATACTCAGTTGTCTCGTACATGACATTATACACTTAAACAATAAATGGCAACACGTTCATCGTTTTATAAAAGGAAACACGAATAGAAGTCAATGTAAGCAATAAAGATTGTAAGATGGGAAACAAAATTTACTTTGTCATAACTTTACCATACACATTATTCCTAAAAACTTATTATTATAATACAAAAGTCAGAAAAAAACGCTTTCAGGTAAGAATAAGCTTTGTATGGAATGCAATAAAAAAAATTCAATAAAATAAACGTTTTTGGTAATATTAAGTATATTTCAGTGAAGGTAAATTTCATCAATATTTTACATATTTCAGGGACGGATATACACAGAGTGGGCTTTTCTGCTGTGTCAGCAATGCTAGAGACCAGATGAAGATTGACGAGGAAGTCGATATGTTTCAGATTTCTCGACAGGTTCTTGTCAGACGTCCGGAATGCATCACAAGTGTTGTGAGTACAAAGCATGTAAATTCGATGCATGACATTATTTTGTATTTCAAATTAGTGATAAGTCCCTTGATGAGCTACAGGTTTCAAACGTTTAATTTTTCAAACGATAAGTATATACCAATATATTATGTACAAATACAATGATAGATACATATAAACTACCTCCAAATATTACTTATATGCAGCGACAATGCAGGAGTTCTTTTTTCCTGAAATGATTAAATAATGTTTTTGTAACAATGAGCAATTCATTAACACGAATCCCTATCAAGTGTTATCGGAAATATTTTTATTTTTAAATTATATATATATATATACATTGTTGATATCGATGGCATTAAGTAAAATACATTTATTAATAAAATGATTTGTAGGACCAGTACAAGTGTTGTTACAACCTGGTCAAAGAGTACCTGGACACCACAGACGTGTATGTCAACTGACAGAGGACTAATACCAGTATAATACAAACTGATCAGTGACTACCTGGAACGCAGAAGTGTAAATGGTATACAAACTAATCAAGAATTAAAAGGAGAGTGCATTTATTGGTTTTGCCTGTTGGCCAAATCCTTTCGTATCCGAAAAAAACCCGTTGATATTGATTTAAACATATTTTATTTGTCATTCAACAAAAAGGATTAGGCACAAGTAATCTCAACTTAGAAACGCCCTCTCCGTTGATATGCATATGGATTAAAACTGTAGGAGTAAACCAGTACTATTAACACGTGTTAAAGACTTACATAGACGAAGTTCCAGGACCAGTAGGGCTGCTACATGATAATCAAGGAGATTTATAGTATTTAATGTGTACATGCTGTACAGTTCAGAGATAGGTAAAACTTAGTACACATAGTTGTTGAAGTAGATCTGTCTGCATCTACATGCAACTGATACAGTTGACGACCTGTGTGATTGTTTTGGTGACGTATTCTTACGTTTTCCCTGATCCCTAAACACGAGACAATTATTTAAAGTACTGAATTTCAGCGGAATCCCGTCTTAGAAGATTTCTAGGGATTGGTAAACTATAGATCATTTTGTACAATGAGTATCCTTTCGCAGGAGGAGTTTAATTGGTTCTCTTACGTTCATTTAACAATGCCTTCAAACTTTTCCTCATTTGTGCTTAAAAAAATGTTTTCCTGATACGATATTTTTGGAAAAACTATTATCATGAGCCTTCTTTCAAACAAGTAACTAAACGTAATGAATATGTCAGTACAATGCGGATGAATTTTTGTACCTGTCTTGGAAGTTGCAACAATTGCTTTTCACATGCATACGTTAATGTAAATCACAAATAAATTGTATTATTGATGTTAATGCCTAATACATGATTTGCTTTTATCAATCGCAAATATGTTGTTACACAATAGTGTAATGCCATGCCAGATAGTACAGAGAATATTACACACGATATTCTTTAAAAAATGCATGACCTAATGAGATATATCCACTACTCGTTATTACTTCCATCACTCCTAAACTATTATTATTGTTGATATTTTATATTTGCACATACTTAATAAAATACTTCACGCATTTATTGTCTTAATGTTATATGATTAAGGATAAGGACCCTCGTTCAAATATGAAAACGTTCTGAAACAAATGCCCATGTCATGTCATGAGTTATCATATATTAGATAGGCGTAAATATGAAATAATTTTACTCATAATGCGAGGTAAATAAGCAGCTTTTCTAAAATTTCATAATTAAAAAGATACAAATGATACGGCAATAGGTGAGATAAATGGCATGCTTCATACAGATGTGAAGGATGGCACAGTATGCAGAGGGTATCTGATAGTTTCAAGATTAATACTTAAACTGTGTATTTCGCGAGTATTGGAAAAAACGATTTTTGATCGATTTGTTTTACGAACGTATCGGTGTATTCTAATCTTTGGCGCCATATTTTAATGACATCATGCATGGCAAGATAACTACGGTCATTTTGAATGGGCTACTAAACACAGGTCTTCTTTTTTATGTCATAATCTGGTCATATTTGCTGATAAAATGTTTCAGCAGTTTAGTAAGGGAAATTACTGATCATATTTAACACAGATAAACCGAAATAGCTACTTGTTCTCCCAACGCTTCATCTTAATATAAAATCAGCTGTTGTGAATGCTGTGAATAGAAAATACAATGTTATTGGTCAATACCGAGTTCCACAACCATAGCACTGTGCGCTTATCTTCATTATATAACTATACATATAAAACACACATTGTATATAATAAATATACAATCATAAATATACATCTACCGGTAAGCTTTGAAATAGATCAAATAGTTTTTGTTCACGCATATGTTAGCTGTTATCTGAGCGAAACATTCTCTTGCCTAATCCAATAAACGATATACTATTTTTTTCCAATAATTAATTGGTTTCAAATAAAGCACTTACCGAATTTTACGAAAAATACTTAAGATACACTTAATTATTGTATGCCTCTGAATAATCAAAAGCACAAAATTATCATCATTTATATAATGCAGTAAATGCAAACTTTGTACATTTAAATTCAATTCATACCTCAAAAACTATGTCTATGTGAGACGTTTTATAAACAATATGTAACAGATACAAGTTGGTAAAATAATTTCTTCGATCAATTAATCATATTATTGTACAAAATAACATTTCTGTACTTTGTATCAGAAAGTATGAATACCCTAGTATGATAAATAAATACTTAGGGGCTGAGTAAGAAAGTGTCTGCACCTTTTTGTCCATAAATAGAATTTTAAATTTTCTGTCAAATGTTCACAAGTTGTTTGGTGATTGTTAGCGCTGTTGACCTGTTTATACACAAATACCATCAGAAATGGCATGGTGCGTTATCATACAGACAGTGTTACTTTTCATTGTAACCTTTTCTTCCCTGTTTATATATACCGACATATTAATTTTGCTGCATTTTTTCATTTGTAGCAGATGAACAAACGCTATGTTTTTCTTTTATATATTTTGTGTATGTACAAACTGTAAATAGTGTATCCGATATTATCGAATAATTGGAAAACCTCAAACAACGGTCAAGGTCTGAAAACCTAACGAGAGCAAATTCGGGAAACCAAATAAAGGGCGAAACAACTATACGATGTAGTGTTATTCATTTGTTGTATAATGTATCAATTACCCAATTTTAAAATGTGCAATCACTTGTGTGTATGTTAAAATTTTACTCATGCTGTAGTTCCTTTTTTTGAATCATTATTTGTGATCTTATAATTTCTTTGGTAGAACTATGTATCTAAGTCAACATCAAATAGTGTAGGCACGGTAAGTTTCGATTTGTTTTGTTTTTCTATCATTTACGCAAACATGTTTGAGTAAGATCATACTTATAATCAGCTTCATTCTCTTTCGAAAATATGTCAGATACGAAGAAAAACCGTGGAAAATATACTGCAGATGTTGCTGATTTGGCTGCATAGTCGTCCACATTTGATGGCGCTTAAGTTTATCAACAGACATACGTTTTGTCAGAATATCTTGTTCAGCATCACGTGTGAATCTCTGGTACCAATGTGATAGTGAAGATGAACTAAGGACCGAAACGGACTTATTATGGTTTGATTTTCGATCAGATCTCCCTTTTTCAGCGATCCATAGCTTTGATATGTACAATGTTTTTGCATTGATGAAGTAAAAGTTACTTGTACTGTATTGAAGCATTCTCTCTAGAAAACTTCTTATTAAACAAATAAAATACACATTTTCCCACAAGATAAGAATTTTATTTGGATAAATATATATATAATTACAATTTAATATAACAAAATGATTTGCTATTTACACTTTGTTTACATCTCAAATGAATTTAGATTATTCTTTGAATTCCATATATTAGCTAAAGGTTTAATTATAAAGTGTTACACCCAATTATATAATCTGAAACATTGTTATACCCCCTGGAAAGGCCTACATTGTCATCAGTTGCTGACATCCTCCAAAATATAATGATTTAGGAAATCAAAAAAATATAGTTATAGTATTTTGTTTTGAGAGTTCTTAAACCATACTTTATGTGCTAAATACTAATATATGTCCTTCAAGAAATATTGCATCTACAAAATGATAACGGCTTTCTTGAAATGATTTTATTCTTATTAATACCACTGTCATAGTAACATCCCTTTCGAAGTGCAATGTATGCAATCTACATGTTTGACTAACAAAGTCACTTGTTTATGTCAATATCCGTTGTTTATTTTTATTTTTTTTATTTAGTACTGAGAATATCATTTTTAAATATATGAATTAACTATTGAATGTTACTATAGTATGTCCTTAAAAATAGTACATCAATGATTTTTACTAAATGAATCACTGTTATCTCTGATGTTTATCTCTGTTGTCCTTTAGGCCATGTTTGTATACTACAACATGTTATTATTACATGCTTACATCATATCTGCATTACAGTGACTTCGCTTCACACTACGTAATTTTCTAACACTATTTTGAGTTTTCCATACATAAACTAATTCACTAGAACATGTTACCGTCCTTCCGGAAGTATCGAGACTCTGCTTTGAAAACTAAGTCTAACTCGATAACAGATCGATACAGATGGCAGCCACCAGTGATGTCATCCATTACCAAATAAAAGGTGAAGGACACACAGTGTATGCCCTCCTGACATTTTAGAGCGCACTCTATAATCCCAGGTAAATAATACATAGCATTGGAATTATGAATAGTTGGGTCAGGACCTATGTTCTCACTCACTAGAATAAATAATGACCACACAATTGAGGGTTCCGTTTGTGAGACGTTCACGACAACAGATGTGGACAGTAACCTTGTAGTGGACGGCGACGTCATATCGCTAACACCTGGTATTTCATTCGTCGACATCGGAGTGGGAGGCATGTCCGTTACTTCATCTTTAGCTGTGGATTATAAATGACCACTATCAAAAGAATAACTCTGAAGTATATTTTTTGTCTCCACAATGAATCGATATCGAAAAGACCTTCATTATATTGGAAAATCGTATCCATTGTCTATAATTTCCAAAATATGTAAAAGTGTTTTGTGGAGTAGGTGATCAAACTTAACATTACGGTTTTTAAACCACCGTAGAGATGCAGTTAATCTTGGAGAAAAATATAATGTTTTCTTACCACAAGGGCAATACGTCAAAATAGAATAATTACATTACAGCAAGGGTGAGAGGCTATTTGTGTCAGTTTTAGCCACCTAGAGTTCAGAGTCATTCCTCTAGCTCATATTTCTAGAGAAACCCTGAGTGAGGTAAATGTGACCCAAAAACCCACGAGAAAAACGGGGCGTTTTATAAGCAAAGTATCAGTAGACTTAGTGCACAATGTTAGGTATATGAGGTATACTTACTGTTTTTGTAGTCAAATAATTCCTACAGAAAGTTTCAGTCGACAGATGGATAATGAACATTCCATAAATATAACATTAGTGTATTTTACCATTTAAAGAAATATCGTAAAAAAGAATCACAAAAAACATAATCGGGCTGAAAATGCGGGTTTTAAACTTTTGAGAAAAACTGATGATATGTTACTAGAATGAGTAAATAATTAATTCTTATTCTAAAAAATATGTAAGTATTTGTGTCCGGAAATGCATTATTGTCGGAACGTAGAACACAATAGAAAGAAAACTCTGTACAGTATGATAGTAGGAGGGTATTAAACAATAGTAGAACAGTGCTGCAATGTTTACGGCATTAGGAAATTATCCAAGAGTAGTAGGAAGGTTAAATTTATTATAGTAGAAAGGTACTGCATAATAGTAAGGAGGTTTTGTTTAATAGTAGAAAGGTACTGCATGCTAGGAAGGAGGTCTTATTTAAAAGTAGAAAGGTACTGCATGATAGTAGGGAGGTCTTGTTTAATAGTAGGAAGGTACATTGTATTATAGTAGAAAGTAACTGCATGATAGTAGGGATGTATTGAGTAATAGTAAGAAGGTGTAATATATAAAATAATAGCAGGAATGTAAAATGTAATATAGTATAAAGGTACTACATGATAGTACGAAGGTATTGTTTAGTAGTAGGAAGTTACAATGTATTGTAGTAGAAAGGAAATATTTAGCAGTAGGAGGTCAATGTTTGTTAAAAGGAAGGTAACACGTGATAAAAAGAAGGTTGTGTGGTAGTAGTAGTAGTAGTAGTAGTAGTAGTAGTAGTAGTAGTAGGTGCAATGTATCATGTAATAGCAGCAAGGTGTAATGTATTATAACAGAAAGGTATTACATGATAGTAGGAAGGTCTTGATTAGTAGTAGGAATGTGCAATGTATGATAATAGAAAGGTTCTACATTATAGTAGGTAGATGCCATGTTTTATATAATAGCAGGGAGGTGCAATTTATTTTAAAATGAAGGTAACATGTGATATTAGGAAGGTTTTATTTAGTAGTAGAAATATGTATCGTATTATAAAAGAGCATGAAGGTGCAATTATTTTAGCAGGAAGGTACTTCATGATTGTAAGAAGGGACAGTATATGAAAC